AGTGGGACTGGGGCAGATGGGGTGGACAAGGCTGAGTCACACAGGAGTAGGGAGCCACTGAAGGTTCTAGACAGTCTCGAAGCAGCAGGGTCAGCTGTTGCTTTAGGAAAATACTTCTGGCTGGATTGAGGGAGACTGCCAGATACAGGGAGCGGTTGGGGATGCTTGGAACAGAAGTGGGGCATGTGGAACCTGAGCAGTAAGGAGAACAGAGGAGAGAGGTGGGCTGGGGCATGGAAGGATAGGGAGACAGTGGCGCTGACCCTGGCAGCCGTGCTGTCCATCAGGGCACGGGGTCAGACAAGAAGTCAGAGCATCCACGGGTCCTCATCACAGCCCTCTATGCTCTGCATGGCGCTAGGTCTTGCAGGGGCCAGAGGACCTTGGGGCACCCTCCCCGCCCTAGTGGCCCAGGAGGATAAAAGTTGGGCACAGAAATCCGCGCTTCTGGCTCCATCCTGCATACCACCCACTCTGCCTCCCGCTCCCGCACGGCCGGCCACACGTCTTCCCCCAAACACACCCCACGCTCCGCTTCTGCGCGCTTCCTGCCCAGCCTGTCCCTGCTGTTTCCTGGCCACACCTCAGTCTCACGGAAAAGCTTGGCTGCAGGTCCTCTGCACTGGAAGCCCCGTGCTCTGCCCCATAGCCCCCCGTGTGCCTGCCTCCCCTGGCCTCCTGCAGCTCTGCCTCCGTTCATCCTTCCCTGTCCTCTCCACGTCTGGCTCATCCCCGACCTTTCCCCCGACTCCGCTTGGCCCAAAGGCCCCGTCTTTGGTCTCCCCTGGCCTCCTCTCCTTTCTCCTCTGTGCCCATCCCCGCCCCGGAGCGCACACAACCCACGGCCACTGAGTGTCAAGTGGAAGATAGGCCAGGGCAGGGACGCCAGAGGTGGATGTGGTAATGCTGCTCCTTCCCCATCACCTTTCCTGGCTGGGGCCGAGGTGGGGCAGCAAGGGGAGCAGAGGGACAGGAATGGTGCCCAGGACGCCCCAGAGCAGCCCCCACGTCTCACTGCAATTCCTCACGGCAACTTCCAGCCAAGACGCTGGCACCAGGCATCGGGGCAGAGAGAGTAGCTCCTGCCTTCCAGGGGTCTGTGTTCTGGTTGGGCGCATGACGGATGAACTCATGCATAGAACTCCAGGGGGCCCTGTGCTGTAGCAGGACGGACCCACCTGCTTCCTCAGCCCGGATTCCCGGGAGCCTGGAATGTCGTGGCTCCGCAGCCAGACAGCCTACTTTCAGCTGTGCTGGTGCCTGCCCAGTGGTCTCACAAGTTGCTCCAGCTTCTGCATCTGTACAATGGGCACACAGCCTTTTCTCAGCACCAGTGACATAGAATACACAACCTACGAGCCAGTCAGCAAAGACCCTGGCAGGGTGCAGGATGTGTTCATTGTTTTCACCCCATTGCCGGCTGCAGAGGCCTCGAGAGGCCCAGCTCTGGTCCTAGCTGCATAGCTTTGAGTGATGCCTTCCCACACCCAGTGCTGCTTTATGAACTATGAAGTAGGGAGCTAGATGACGCCTCCTCTCCGCCATCCCGCTAAGATGCGAAGGGACAGAAGGGCCCGTGGTCCGCTCTCCCCCTCCTCGGCTCCCTTGGCCCTGGCCACTCCGGCCTCTTGGCTTTCACACTGCGCCCAGCTCGCGGCTGGGTCCCCAGACCCTCCACAAACACACAAGGGCTGCATGCGTCACAGTGCAGAATCCCGGACAGAACCCTCTCGGTGCCAGCTCAGTAGCCTGTGCTGCAGCTGAGGCCTCTACAGCCTGGAAAAGCACAACACCCACCCCGACCCCCTGCTGGGCACATGGCCCCTGCCCTTGGGGCCCCAAAGCCCTCAGAGGGCCCAGGTTGGCTAGTGGAGGAGGGGCAGCAGTCTCAGGGCTCATCCTTTGTCCCAGGCCCCAGTAGATTTTAATTCCAAGGTTCAAAGCGCCTTTGCCCCTTTGCAGATAAAAGGCTGCTCCGCTGGAGAGATGAGCTGGTTAATAAAGGACCGAGGGGGCTCTGGAAAGCTGGCCCACCAGGCCGGCGGCCCACGCCCTCCGCCGCGAAGACGCTCAGCCCCAGCCGCCCTGCCGTTCCAGCCGGCTGCCCTACAAGAAAAGCCCATTAATTTAACACTAATAGGATTTTCAATTTGTCACAATCCTGGGAGAGCTGGGGAGGTGGGAGGAGGATAGGATGCACAGCATGTCTGCATTAAGGAGCTTTGAGGGGAGGCTGGCCTGGAGAGGAGACAGGTCCCTGCCCCTCCAGGGCCTTCAGACAAGCACATCTCCTCCTGGCTGCAGTTTCTTCCACAGAAAGTAAAACTGAGCCAGGTGCATTGGTGTCTGCCTGTAATCACAGATACTTGGGAGGCTGAAGCAGGAGGATCACAGGTTCAAGCACAGCCTGTGCAATTTAGTGAGACCCTGACTCAACATAAAAAATAAGAAGGTCCAGGGATGTAGCTCAGTGGTATCGCACCCCTGGATTTGATCTCCAGTACTGAAAAAGAAAGGGAAGAAGAAAGGAAGAAAAGGAGAGAGGAAGGGAAGGAGAAAGGAGAAGGGAAGGGAAAAAGAGAAGAGAGGAGAGGAGAAGAGAAGAGAAAAGAAAAGAAAAGAAAAGAAAAGAAAAGAAAAGAAAAGAAAAGAAAAGAAAAGAAAAAAGAAAGGAGGGAAGAAAGGAGGGAAAGTTAATAAAACCTACTTGGAGAGGAGACTGTAGGATTAAATGAGTCTGTAAAGGAAAAACATCAGCAAGTGCAGTGCATCAGGATAGGCGGCAGCTGGCACCCTGTAACCATCGCCCCTCCGGCCTTAGTCTCCCTCCCTGCTCCCTCCCAACCTGCACAGGTAGCCCAGGCTGCCCGGGCTGAGGACCTGCCCCCAGCCCAGCCTGCTCCCCGCCTCCGGGCAGCTTCTGCTGACACCAGGGAGTCGTGAGTGTCTGGGAGCCCACGGTCTTTCCATCCTCCCCGGGATCAGCGTCCTGAATTCCTGGTTGTTCAAGAGGAGCCGAGGATTTGGAGCCTCGACACATGGCGGCCCGATCAGCAGCCTCCGCTCGTGCCAGCCAGCTGCATCTCGGTTACAGCTAAGCACACAGCACACCAGCTGCCCAAGCCCTGTTCTCCGGGCGAATTCCTCTGGGATCAGGAGATGCCAGACAGTGGGATGTCTGTGTCTCTCCGTGGCCGAGGGCTCAGCACAGCGCTTCCCACGGCCTGGGTGTGAGGGGCACCCTGCCTGGCTAGGGTCTCAGGGCAGGAGCTAGGGAGAGACGCGCCCTGGGCTACAGTAGACAAGGGACGGAAACAGACACGGTACACAGCCTTCTCCCAGGTGCCAGAGCCAACACACAAGCCCACCTGCACGGGCCCCAGGCCTGGCTCAGAGCCACACGCTGGACACGCTGTGACCGCCCCCGGGAGAGCGGTGGGAAAAGGGACTCAGGAGGCTGCTCCCCACGTCTGGCTCTGGGCAGCTGCTTCCCTAGCAAAGTCCTCAGGAACAGACTGGACAGCGGGGGGCAGGGAGGGCCCAGCCTGCTCGCCTGCAGCCCCTGTTTGCTTTGCCTCTGACACGGCCCCCGCAGGAGCCCCAACCACAATTTACGGCACAGCCATGTGGATGGGAGCGGGAAGCGAGGCGGCAGAGAGACGAAACCGGGGGCGGTTTCAGTTACTCTGTATTTCAGGCTCCGCAGACCTACTCAGGTGCACAGGCAACCATATATCTTGACTGCAGAAGAAAGAGAAGCAACAAATTGGTGTCCACCTCTTTAATGGTCCCACACATAGACACGGGGGCTGCACCTTCACCAAGATCAAGGTGGAAAGGCCCAAGGTCCTGGACTAGAACTCCATGGGTTCTCAGACGCAGGAAAGAAGGCTGGGTGGACACCAGGGAGAAGACTCTAAAAGAGAATCCTAGCTAAGCGCCACCACATAGAGTGCAGAAAGTCACCCTAGGCTCCAGGGATTCTGGAAGGGCTGGGGAAGAAGGCAGCCTGCCCACACGGCAGAGGGAGAGCAAGGAAAGCCCCTTCCTCCGGGACCTGTTGGGCCATGAGCTTTCTAGAACATCTCTGCTGGAGCTTGAGTCACATCATCTTGGGCTTGTGCAAAAAATATCCAGCTCTGCTCACAAGCAAGCGGGACCAGGGAGTCACAGGTAGCATGCGCTCAGGCAGGAGAGGGACCGTGTCACACACCCTGGTCGCAGAGGAGAGGTCCCAGCATCCAGAGTGTCTGTCCCATCCTCCACCGAAGCTCCCTGAATTTCCAGCTCCCACACTGAGAATGATCCCCAGGGCTCCAGCTTTCCCCTGAATTCTAATCTGGCTGTGCGAGCTTAGGTGAACTGCTCATTTCTCTGGGCTTTTAATTCCCTGGGAGAAAAATACAAAGGAAAAGAAAAACTAAGAAGGGCTCTCTTGCCCTATGGAGGTAAATGCCCTTCATAAAGGGCTTGATGAGCTATATTCAAGACAAAGAGAGTGGTCTCTCCCTATAATGCTGAAATGGTGGCATTTGTTTATTAGGGTTTTAAGAATGGGATGGAAGCTGTGGGTTGGGAGTGTAGGATCTGTCATTCATTCATTCACTCATCATTCATTCAGTCATGTAGCAGTTATTTACGGAACTCCTACTGAAGGCAGACGTGACAGAGAAGAGAAACAGGCATTCCAGGACCTTCTGGGGCGATGGAAGCTCCTCCAGAGCACAGTGGGGGAGGGGGCGTGAACAATGCATCTTGAAAGCCGCTGCTGGAAAGACGAAGAGGTGGCCAAGCAAAGCGAGGGTGGTCAGAAGAGATCTAGGGAGGGCTCGACATCTGCAAAGTCGTGAAGCATCTTCCCGCTAACTTCCCTCACTTCTCACCAGCAGGAAACACCTCTGCTGAAGGAGTGAAAGAATGGATAACAGAGAGACAGACAAGCACACGAGCAAAGCAGGCAGGGACGCAGAATGCACACTGCAGATAAAGCACCCACATACCTGGGGAACAGTGAACGCCTTGTGTGGTGGACCCAGCCATCCAGCCATTTCAGTACCATGTGGAACAGCCCAAAGCTCTGGCTTCTGTCTTCAACAGAGCCCAGGAAGGAGACTATGGCTCTGTCCCCTTGTCCACTGATGAGATCGCTGACCCACATCCAGTTCCCTTCTACTCAAAAAGCTGGGGCACCATCCCCCTCCTTCGCTCACGCAGAAGCATCTCTTGATCGTCAGCCACACTCCAGAAAGTGTGCCAGGCACCAGCGTGATTGCCGGTGGCATAGGCCAGCTCTGGGGCTACCTCTCTCTATGTGCCCATCCACCCTGGCTGGTCATGATCACAAGAGAGACGCACCTGGGTGCACAGCAGGCTACTGGACCTTCCCAGTGGGTCCCCAGTCAATGACAGGCTGAGGCCTGTGTAGCGGCGTTTCCCCCTCCTGCTCCCCGCCCAAGCTCGTGGCCAAGGGCAAGGCACACGCATGGCTGAAATCCCATCAATGGCCCCTGGCCAACTGGCTGCCACTTGCTTATTTGGCTTGGAACAGGAAATACATTTTTCTACTATTTATACTGCTGACCTCAGGAATAAACTAATTGCTGCTTCGAAGCTGCATTCCCACACTGTCCAGCTCACATCTGTAACCCCTGGTTGGGACCCTCACAGAAAAGGTGCCAGATGGCCGGGAGGTCCAAGGGTTCAAGCCTGTGGACGCTCCTGTCCTGCTCCTAGGTCCTCAGGGGAGAAGGATCGGAGGCTGCGAGTCACCTCTGCTGGATCTTCAGCTGGGATCCAGAGGATGTCGGCCTGCTTCTTCCTTTGTCTGGAACAAATCTCTTCTCCAGGTCCCCGTCTTGTTCTGCGCATGGAGGTGCAGTAGTGCTGAGCTCCAGGGACTGCCATTCGGAGTAAATGACACCATGTCTGAGAGCAGCTTCGGGTAAATGTGATTACCCCAGAAGACCCATCAGCTCGAACAGCCCAGCCCCAGAGGCCAGCTTGGCGCAAGCAGTCTCCACATCTGGGCCAGTAACAGCATCAGCCAGATGTGCTGCAGATCCCACCGCCATCATTGTGTGGAAGCAGGCACCTGCCTCCTGAGGCTGCTGCCCACAGTAACCAGATCAACCTCACCACACAAGCAGGCAGGCTGGCACCAGCAAGGGCTAGGAAAAAGAAACCGAATGAATGAATGAGTGAATAGCAACAACAGCCTAAGCTATCATACTACTTTAACTGATTTTTTAAAGATTTACTGAAATGAGCAACTGCTTGGCTCAGTGGTTAGCACATCCATCTATCAGACATGGCCGTCTTCCAATAAAATGTTATTTACAAAATAAGTTATGGGCCAGATTTGGCCAACCCTTCTGGTTGAACCATGCCCTCATCAAGTCTTTGATTCTTCCTCATCTCCCCTTCCTCTAATATGTCACCAGGTCCTATCTATTCTTCTTGCTACATACTGTTCCCTCTTACCCATACTATAAGCTCTGCCCTGGTTCAGCCTTATGCCCTAGGAGCTAGACACTCCAGCAACTTCTGTGTTAGTCAGCACTCCATCACTATAACAAAATACCCCAGCCAATCAACTTACAAAGAGAAAAGGTTAGGTTTAGTTCCCACTTTGGCAGGTTCCAGCTCATGATTCGTTGGCCCTGTTGTCTTGGGGCCTTTTAAGCTACTAAGTAGATCATGGTAGGAGCATGTGATAGAGCATAGCCACTCACTTCATGACCAGGATGCTAAAAGAGGTAGACAAAGGGACTGGACCCTGGAGTTTTATAGTTTTGTGTTTACATTTATGTCTATGACCCACTTTGAATTAATTTTTGTGAAAAGTGTAAGTAAGGTCTGTGTCTAAACTTATTTTTATCCTTTTTTGTATGTGGATGACCAGTTGTTCCAGCACCATTTGTTAAAAAGACCACTCTTTCTCTATTGAATTGCTTTGTTCTTTCACCAAAAATTAACTAACTATATGTGTGTGGGTTAACTGGGGGGGATCTCTATCCTGTTCAATTGATCTATTTGTTCTCCAACAAATATCACCTGGTCTTGATTACTGTAGCACTATGCTAGGTCTTGAAGTTGGGTACTATCAGTCCTCTGATTTTGCTCTCCCGCTATTATTGTGCTGACTACTCTGAATCATTTGCCTTTCCATACAAACTACATAATCAGTTTGTTGATATCCAGAAAATAATTTGCTATGATTATAATCAGGATTGCATCGAATCTATACGACAAGTTTGGAAAGAACCTGACACTTAGCATTATTGAGTATTCCTATTCATGAACATAGACTATCCCTCCATGTGTTTAGATCTTCTTAGAGTTCTTTCATAAGCTCTTTAGTTTTCTTCGTATAGCTCTTTGTCTTGATTACTTTTCTCTTGTTGCTGGGACAAAATAACTGACACCAAAAATTAAGGAAGAAAAGGTTTATTTACCTCACAGTTTGTGGAGGTTTCAGTCCATACTCAGCTGGCTCCAAGGCAGGGTGGCACATGGCAGAGGGCAACCCTTCATGGCAGTGGAAAAACAGCAAAACCAACAAGGTGGTACAAAACAGTCAAAGCAACAAGAGCAAAATAGAGGAGGGGCAGAGAGCAAGCCTCTTTTCCTTCCTTATATTGTATGCAGGCTCCCGGCCCCAGGGTGGGTGTAGCACTCACACCCATAACCCCAGCAGTGGACCATGAATCAATCATAAACTCTAGAAGCCCACCCCATGACTGCATGAGGCTTTGGGGGAACATCCAGACACAAACCATAACACTCTTATACCTAAGCATTTCATTTTATGGGCCAAATGTAAATGATACTATGTGTTTAACTTCAAATTCCGCTTGTTCTCTGGCATTTATAAGGGCAATTGACTTTTGTATATTAACTTTGTACCCTGCAATCTTGCTATACTCTCTTGCTATAATTAGTTCCAGGAGTTTTTCTCATATCCGTTCTTTGGAATTTTCTACAAAAATAGTCATGTCATTAATAGAAAGTCATGTCATTAATAGAAAGTTTTTATTTCTTTCTTCCCAATCTACATACATTTTAGTTCCTTTTCTTATCTTATTACCTGAGCTAGGTCTTCCAGTATAGTATTAAGTAGGGCCGCAAGACAGGCCAGCTTGCTTTGCTCTCAGTCTTGAAAAGCACCTAGTGTGAAAGCACCTAGTTTCTCAGCTTTTTGTATGATGTTGGCTATAGGCTGTATCAGATTGAAGAAGTTTCCCTCTATCTCCAGTTTAATGGATATTAGGTTTTGTCAAACGTCTTTCTGCCCTGCATATGACCTTGAGCTTGGAGATGAGTTTTTAGTTGCCATACCAGAAGCATGACCCATTAGGGAAGAAACTGACAAGGTGGACATCATTAAAATTAAACATTTCGGGGCTGGGGATTTAGCTCAGAGGCAAAAGTGCCTGCTTGGCAAGCGCAAGGTCGTGAGTTCGGTTCCCAGTACCGGAGAAAAACCAAAAAAAAAAATAAAATAAAATAAACATTTCACTAGGCATAGAGGCACCACCTATAATCCTAGCACTCGAAGGCTGAGGCAGGAAGATTGCTGTGCATTCAAGGTCAGCCTATGCTACATAATGAGTTCAGGGCGAGCCTGAACTACATAGCAAGACACTGTCCCCAAAAAAAGTTAAACTTTTCTAGTCCATAGAAAACACTAATAAGCTAGCTGGGCATGGTGGTGCATGCCTATAATCCCAGCTCTCAGAAGGCTGAGGTAGGAGGATCGTTGTGAGTTTGAGACCAGTCTCGGCTACAAAGTGACCTCAAGGCCAGCCTGAACTGCATGGTGAGACCCTGTCTCAAAAATACAAAAAACAAACAAACAAACAAAAAAAAAAACCCACCAATAAAAGAGGGAAAAAACCTCACAGATTAGAAGAAAATATGTAGATATAATATATATGTATTTATTTATACAAATTAGATGACTGATCTCCAAATTATTTCAAGAACTCTGAAACCCAACAGTAAGAAAACAAAACCCAATTTTAAAAAACAGACAAAAGGTCTGAAAGACGCCTCACCAAAGAGTAGAGACAGATAGTAAATAGTCATATGAAAAGATGCTCCGTATGACACCACTACAGCATTACAAATGAAAATAACAATGAGATACCCCCACCATACACCCATTAGAACCACAAAAATCCAAAACTCTGACAACACTAAGTGCTGGTGAGAATGCAGAGTGCCAGGTGCTCCCCGTCACCGCTGGGAGCGATGGAAGATGGCAGTTGTTCACAAAGCCAAAGTCTACCATACAGTTGTGTTCCCAGGTATTTACCCAAATGGGCTGAGAACACGGCCACATAAAAAACCTGCACACAAGTGTTTACAGAGGCTCTGTTACTCATAACTCCCAAACTAGAAACAAACAGTGCCCCTCAAAATGTGGATGGATAAGCAAAGAATGAAAACATTCAGCAATAAAAAGAAATGACAATTAAGCCACCAAAGACATGGGGGAGCCTTAAACGCCTGCTTCTAAGTGAAAGGAGCCGGTGTGGACACTGTATGATTCCGCGTGTACGGCATTCTGGGAAAGGCAAAACTAGGAAGACGCAGCTCATGGGTAGACAGTTGCCTGGCTGCATAAGGCCCTGGGTTCAATCTCCAACGCTGGAAAAAAAGTCAGTGGCTGGAAGGGTTTTCATGTTAGGGGTGGGTAAGGAGGATGAATACAAAGCACAGGGACTTTGGGGCAGTAAAATTATTCTACGTGCTACAGGATGCATGACCTGATACATTCGTCAACACCCACATAACCGTACAGTACAAAGAGCAAAGCCTAACGTCAACTATCCATGTTAGTTAATAATAAATCAGCATTGCCATCAATTATAACAAATGTACCACACTAATGCAAGATGTTAATAAAAGAGGAAACTCTGTGTGTGTGTGTGTGTGTGTGTGTGTGTGTGTGTGTGTGTGTGTGCTGGGAGGGTGCAGGGGCACTCTCTGTACTGTTTCTCAATTTTTCTACAAACCTGAAACAGTTCCAAAGACTAACCTATTCATTTTAAAGAAAACCCTCTATAGGGACAGATTTGCATTACCCTTATTTTATAGAGATATTGTCACCCTCATTTTAAGGAGGGATATTTTCTATGTCCTCTTTTTATGGGAGAGGAAATGAAAGCTTAAGGAAGTTGCATGCACTGTTCAAGGTCACACAGCTGCCAAGAGACAGGGTCAAGTTTGATTAGTGGACAGGTGGCCAGAGAACTCTCCGGGTGTGGTGCCCAGAACCTAACCGTCCTTGGAATGGTGCAGACATTTGAGTCCCTGCTCAGCAACCTCCCACCCACATGCCTGCCTCAGGGTCCTTGTGTGGACCAGTGCAGGAGCCTGTGGCCCATGCTCAGCCTGCTCTGCAGGAGGACATT